TGAAGTGTGCATAAGCCAAAAACAAACCCGATCTGTTTTTCCTAAGAAAAGTGGCGATAGATGCAGCGAATTACTCGAGATTGTTCATAGTGATGTATGCGGACCGATGAGGTGTCAATCTAATTCCGGTGCGAAATATTTCGTAACATTTATTGACGAAAAATCTCGATATTGTGAAGTGTTCTTTTTAAAGAAAAAATCAGATGTATTTTCAGCTTTCGTAAAATATAAAGCTTCCGCAGAAAACTTTACGGGTAAAAAGATAAAGGCGCTTCAATCGGACAATGGTCGTGAATATTGTAACAATGAATTTGATTCTTATTTGGTGAAAAATGGTATAAAACGTCGGTTGACCACTCCCCACACGCCACAACAAAACGGGATGGCTGAACGTAAAAATAGGACTCTCGTCGAGATGTCACGCTGTATGATGAGTCATGCCGGGTCGCCCCCGTCGTTTTGGGCTGAAGCCATAAATACCGCGTGTTATATAAGAAATCGTTGTGTTACAAAGACTAATGGTGAAATACCATATAATCTGTGGACAAATAAAAAGCCAACAGTGATGCATTTTAAAGTATTCGGTTGTAAAGGCTACGTGTTGAATAAAAATCCATCGAAAGGGAAATTTGAATCCCGATCAGAACTGTGTACATTTGTTGGATATTCATCAGAATCAAAAGCCTACCGAATGTGGTGTCAAAGAAAAAGAGACGTAATAATAAGTCGTGACGTTAAATTTATAAATGAAAGCGGATTTAATGACACATATACAGACTTTTTTGATGTCGATGGTGAAAAACGCATAGAAATTGAATGTCCAAACCAAATCGTGGAACCGGAAAATAACGTCGTTAATAATGAAATGGAGAGCGAATCCGAAGCTGAGGAAGAAGTTGTCGAGTGTGTAGACAACGAAAAAGACGACAGACGCGGCAGAGGACGTCCAAGACTGAGAAAATTGGGACTTCGCGGACGCCCCAAAAAACTGTTCCAGCCAGCAAGTACTTCGAAAAGCGATACAGAAGACGAGGACGGAAATCCATCTACAAGTCAGTCGGGAGAAGAAAGTTTTGAAGAATGCGAATTGGCATATCTATCAATAGTTGCAGACCCTATTACTCTAAGTGAGACCAGAGAAGCACAAAATTCATCGGATTGGAGAGCAGCAATTGAGGACGAGTATTTAGCCCAAATCAAGAACAATACGTGGGAAATCGTCGAGCGCCCCAACCAAAGGCAAGTAATTGATAGCAGACTAGTCTTCCGAACTAAAGATGACGGAACAACCGCAGGCAAGAAAAAGGTTCGTCTAGTGGCAAAAGGCTATTCCCAACGTCCAGGTGAAGATTTTCACGAGACCTACTCACCTGTAGCACGTTATTCTTCCATCAGAATGCTGACAGCATTAGCAGCGGAATTTGATATGGAGATCCATCAAATGGACGTCGTAACAGCATATTTAAACGGCAAATTAGAAGAAAATGTTTACATGAAAATCCCTGAGCAGTTGATGCCAATATTGACTAAGTTGAAATCCGGTAAGTCTATTGGTACAAATCAAATTATTAAACATGACCGAAACGTCGAAGAGACAGCAGATAGATGGCTGCAGGCAATGAAAAATGCAAAAGATCCTGTGTGTCTTCTAAAGAAGGCATTGTACGGCCTGCGTCAGTCCGATCTAATGTGGTATTACAGATTAACAAAGAAGTTAAAACAACTGGGTCTTAACCCAACAAAGCAAGATCCATGTTTATTTTCGAGGCAAGAAGGTGAAAGAATTATCATACTTTCCATATATGTAGATGACTTGCTATTAGCCTCGAATGTTCCGGAGTGGATAAGAGACATAAAGTTATCCTTATCACAATCATTTGATATGAAAGATATTGGTCCAGTGAAGCGTTGCTTAGGCATTGACTTCCAGCAAAAACTTAAGTCAAAGCAAGTGTTCCTGTCGCAACGAAATTATGCAGAATTAATTTTGGATCGTTTTGGTATGGCCGAATGTAAATCAGCATGGACTCCTATGGAAGCAAATTGTAAGCTGTCTATACCAGCGATGAAGGACGAAGGTATAATGTCGAAATTTCCATATCAACGATTAATAGGCGCGCTGATGTACCTCGCAGTTACAACAAGGCCCGACATTGCTTACGCCGTAAATTTCATGAGCCAATTTAATTCCAACTACAATCAGGAACACTGGAAATCAGCCAAAAGAATCTTGCGTTACATACGTGGAACCCTCGATTATGGATTGTTATTTACAAAGACCAACACTGAGCTTTATGGTGTTGTTGACGCAGATTGGGGTGGGAATATGACAGATCGCCGTTCATATTCCGGTTACGCTTTCATACTTGGAGGCAGCGCCATAAGTTGGGAGGCGCGCAAGCAGAAAACTGTTTCTCTTTCGAGTACAGAAGCAGAGTACATTGCCGTAGCAGAGGCAACGAAGGAGGCCCTTTACCTGAAAAATATACTCAACGATATAGGTATCTACAACGAGAATGTTACCCTGTTTAACGACAGTCAGAGCGCACAAAAGCTAATTCGGAATTGTGGATATAGTGCACGGACCAAACATATCGACATCCGTCACCATTTTGTACGCGATTGTCTACGAAACAATGATATTACTCTAGAATATATTTCAACGGATAACATGCCAGCCGACATGTTAACAAAAGGACTCAACAAGAACAAACATCAATATTGTTCGGTTAACCTGGGGTTAACATCACATCATCTACTAACCAGTAGTGCATCTACTTCGAGGGGAGGTGTTACAACAGCGAAGCAGATCCACTAACTACGAAGCAGATCCACTAATTGCATTTGTTTACGAATTATAAGATCCACATGAAATGTCAGATACTTTTGTTTTCCTTTTTGATTTACTTCTCTGTCATACTTACCTCTACTCTATACTTCAATAAAGTTACATGAATTCAAACCGCCGTGGCTCGTGTTTGCTTTTCTCTCCCTCGTGTTTTAATAATGGATAACTTCAAAAAATAATTTTTTAAAAATCCACGTTCATGGATAACTTAAAAAAATAATTTTTAAAAAAAATCCACGTTCATGGATACCTTAAAAAAATAATTTTTAAAAAATCCACGTTCATGGATACCTTAAAAAAATAATTTTTAAAAAATCCACGTTCATGGATAACTTCAAAAAATAATTTTTAAAAAAATCCACGTTCATGGATACCTTAAAAAAATAATTTTTAAAAAATCCACGTTCATGGATACCTTAAAAAAATAATTTTTAAAAAATCCACGTTCATGGATAACTTCAAAAAATAATTTTTAAAAAATCCACGTTCATGGGTAAATTCAAAAAATAATTTTTAAAAAATCCACGTTCATGGATAAATTCAAAAAATAATTTTAAAAAAATCCACGTTCATGGATAAATTCAAAAAATAATTTTTAAAAAATCCACGTTCATGGATACCTTCAAAAAATAATTTTTTAAAAATCCACGTTCATGGATAACTTCAAAAAATAATTTTTTAAAAATCCACTTTCTTGGATAACTTCAAAAAATAATTTTTTAAAAATCCACGTTCATGGATAACTTCAAAAAATAATTTTTAAAAAATCCACGTTTATGTTGGACTTCAAAAAATAATTTTTAAAAAATCCACGTTTATGTTGGACTTCAAAAAATAATTTTTAAAAAATCCACGTTTATGTTGGACTTCAAAAAATAATTTTTAAAAAATCCATGTTTATGTTGGACTTCAAAAAATAATTTTTAAAAAATCCACGTTTATGTTGGACTTCAAAAAATAATTTTTTAAAAATCCACGTTTATGTTGGACTTCAAAAAATAATTTTTAAAAAATTCACGTTTATGTTGGACTTCAAAAAATAATTTTTAAAAAATTCAAGTTTATGTTGGACTTCAAAAAATAATTTAAAAAAAATCCACGTTTATGTTGGACTTCAAATAATATTTTTTTTTTTTTAAATCCACGTTTATGTTGGACTTCAAAAAATATTTTTTTTTTTTTAAAATCCACGTTTATGTTGGACTTCAAAAAATATTTTTTTTTTAAAATCCACGTTTATGTTGGACTTTAAAAAATAATTTTTTTTAAAAATCCACGTTTATGTTGGACTTCAAAAAATAATTTTTTTAAAAATCCACGTTTATGTTGGACTTTAAAAAATAATTTTTTAAAAAATCCACGTTTATGTTGTACTTCAAAAAATATTTTTTTAAAAATCCACGTTTATGTTGGACTTTAAAAAATATTTTTTTTTTTAAATCCACGTTTATGTTGGACTTCAAAAAATAATTTTTTTTAAAAATCCACGTTTATGTTGGACTTCAAAAAATAATTTTTTTAAAAATCCACGTTTATGTTGGACTTTAAAAAATAATTTTTTAAAAAATCCACGTTTATGTTGTACTTCAAAAAATATTTTTTTAAAAATCCACGTTTATGTTGGACTTTAAAAAATAATTTTTTTAAAAATCCACGTTTATGTTGTACTTCAAAAAATATTTTTTTAAAAATCCAAAATACCATTTTAGAACTTTTCGTAACTTTAAAGTTCGAATTTCAAAAATCCCTTTGGAAAATCTATCCTGCACTTCATCAGTGACTTCCATTTCAAATTTAAATTTCTGACTCTTTCCGTTTGTCTTATATATAGCATTCAGTTTTTATTAAATGGTACCCTTTTGGAAGTTTGGTACCATTTTGTAACTTTTCTTAACCTTAAAGTTCGAACTTCCACAAACCGTTTGGTACATCTATTCTACACTCAATTAGTGAGTCTCATTCCAAATTTCAGAATTATAACTCTTTCCAACACAAAATATTTAATTTTTAATACAGTTTTGTACTTTTCGTACCCTTTTAGTACAAATTCCCAAAACGAAATTTCATTTTAAACATTTTCATCATTTTTTTTTTATTTTACGACTTTTGGTCCTTTTTTACTAAATGTATTTTTTTATTTTTCTCATTCCAGTCTCACGACGACAAAGAGAAGGCTAACTCACCATTTGATACAAATGGTCTGAAGAAGGATGATCAAGTGACCACAACGAATGGCGTTGTCAATGGCATTGACGATGACAAAGGATTCAAGTAAGTAAACGAAGATTTTTTGAATTAACTTTAAAAAGGGATTGAAGAGCGGATTCAAAATGGGTTTGAAGATTAGGCTAGAGATTTGAGATTATCTCTGGATCCGGGCTATACGATATTTTTAGGCTAAACCCAAAAAAAAAATCCTCGGTGCCATAAGAAGGCAAAGTATTGGTCCAATAGAACCTATGACATATTTCATTAGCTGTGTCCTTTTTTCGAAGTAAAATAGTATCCGAAAAGGAATTCTAAAAATTTCAATTGAATCGCAATTTTCTCCATTAACCACCTTCGACGTGTTGCGATGTATAGAAATTATTTGGATCCATGAATGCAGATTCTACATTCCTTCCAGACACAATTACCTAACCTACTACAACAGAAGTAAACATCCGCTTTTAGGTTCTGCTTCTCCAATACATTACTGCCAAAAAGTTAAGTAACAAGATCCGTGGGGTTGAGGAGCTCTTGTTATTGTTGTTGATCTGTGGTTATGTCAACTCTCATTGTTGTTGTTGCTGTTTACACAATCACACATTGTGTGGATGGAGTGCCACTTACTCATAGACTGGTTGCAACCGAAACTCCCTTCCTTCCAACTTCTCTTCAACCCCCCTTCAGGCTATGCTTGAATAATTGTTGTATGTTTAGTACCACAAGCTGCATTGTTGCATGCTGCAAGCAACACCAACAACAACCAACCACAATTGCCAACAATAACCAGCCACCAAACATCATGCTGCTTTTTGCCGGCTGCTGCCTGCTGCATCCAGCCATGCCTCACACATTCGAATCCAATCCAATTCCCCAACTTGTTCGTAATGGCATTGACATTAGAACCATGGAACTGGTTTCTTCAAGGTTTCGAGTTTTCTTGGTTTTCTTCAAATTCTCTCCTTTCCCAGTTGGTGTGGTCTGGTCTGGTTGGGTTCAGCTCTTGCCTGGCTGGTGTGTGTGTGTTGTATGGAGTAGTTTGTGTTTGGGTGTTGTGGTCGTGTGCAATGCCTTAGTTTTGTTGAAGTTTTCAGCAGACAATTCCAGCCGGCGTTTTTTTTTGCGTTACAAAAACAATGCCACAAAAGTAACAACTAGACGACGACAACAACAAAAACAATCATCGTCACATAACTCCTAAACTGGAGGCATATTGACTTGATTATGGTTACATTATAACACCATTCTAGAGACAAGGAGAGAAAGAGAGGGAGAGAGTGGGAGAGAGATACAGTGGGACAATGAAAAGCAGCAACTTTAAAGAAAATTGATCCTCAAAATCAGGGCAACGTTTTCTTTTAATAAAAAATCTATTTTTCTCTATAGAAAAAAATCAGTTCTCAGGAACTGAGGGGCATTTTTTTTTCTATAGAAAAAAATCAGTTCTCAGGAACTGAGGGGCATTTTTTCTATAGAAAAAAATCAGTTCTCAGGAACTGAGGGGCATTTTTTTTCTATAGAAAAAAATCAGTTCTCAGGAACTGAGGGGCATTTTTTTTCTATAGAAAAAAATCAGTTCTCAGGAACTGAGGGGCATTTTTTTTTATAGAAAAAAATCAGTTCTCAGGAACTGAGGGGCATTTTTTTTCTATAGAAAAAAATCAGTTCTCAGGAACTGAGGGGCATTTTTTTTTTCTATAGAAAAAAATCAGTTCTCAGGAACTGAGGGGCATTTTTTTTTTCTATAGAAAAAAATCAGTTCTCAGGAACTGAGGGGCATTTTTTCTATAGAAAAAAATCAGTTCTCAGGAACTGAGGCGCATTTTTTTCTATAGAAAAAAAATCAGTTCTCAGGAACTGAGGGGCATTTTTTTCTATAGAAAAAAAAGCAGTTCTTGGGAACTGAGGGGCATTTTTTTCTAAAAAAATCCGTTCTCAGGACTGAGGGTTTTTTTCTGTGGAAAAAAACCGTTCTCAGGGATTGAAAGAAACATTCAGAGACTGGAGAGTATTTTTTTTCTATAGAAAAGAAAATCAGTCGGGAGCTGAAAATTTTTTTTCTGCCAGGCATTGAGGGGTATTATTTTCTATAGGAAAAGCTCAGGCACTGAAGTATTTTTAAAAAACTAATGATTTGATGATTTTCTATACCCTCAATCCTCAGGTATTGACTAGAATTTTTTCCAAGGATTGCTAAGGATCCTGGACATGGATTTTAAATATTTTTTTCCACCAAGGTTCATAAGAGCAATAATCGAGGATATTCAAGAATTGACTTTTTAAAGAACCTCCAATCGATCATTAACGTTTTCAAGGACCTTCAATCGAGGATTGGCTTGCTTAAGGTCCTCGAATTAGGATTTTTAAAGATTATTTCCAAAAGATTTTCCCAGATTATAAGAATTTTTCAAGGACCTCCAATCGTGTTTCAATTTTTTTTTTCTAGGACCTCCAATCTGGGATTTTTAAACAATTTTTCAAGATCCATTCCAATCGGACATTTTTAAAGATTTCTTTCAAGAATTATCCAAGAATTAAGTGTGGATTTTTTAACTTTGTTCAAAGTCCTCTATCGTAGATTTTTAAATATTTTCCAAGGTTCTTCAATGAGGGACTTCAATCCTGAATTTTTTAAGATTTTTCACGAGGACTCATGATGAATGCGATTCTGGATTTTTTTTTAAGATTTTCCCTGAGGAATACAATCCTAGATTTTTAAAGACTTTTTTTCCAAGGACTCTTGAGGACAAGGATAGTGAATATTTATTTAATATTTTTCCAAGGATTTTTCAAGACCCTTGAGAACTCCAATCACTCTTGAGTAATACCAAGGAATATAAGAGCTATAATCGTACAATTTTTAAGATTTTTTCCAAAGCTTCTTGAGGACTACAATCGTGGCTTTTTAAACAATTTTCCAAGGATCTTTGAAAACTGCAATCGTGTATTTTTTAAGTTTTTTTTCCAAGGACATTTGAAAACTGCAATTGTGGATTAAAAAAAGTATAAAATGTCGCGGAATCTTGAGAATCGTAGATTTTTATAAAAGGTTTCGAAGGACTCTTGAAGACTACGGTGGAGGATTTTAAGGATTTTTTGAAGGACTTATGAAACAACAATCGCAGATATTTAAAGAATTTTTCCAAGGACTTTTGAAAAAACAATCGATTATTAAAGGACGCTTGGGGACTCCAAGAACGCTTGTGGACTAAAATCGTGGATTTTTAAAGATTTTTTCTAAGAACTTTTGAGGACTACAATCGTGGATTTTTAATGATTTTTTTAGATTTTTTATTTGAGTCCTACAATCGTGGCTTTTGAATAATTCTTCCAAGGACTTTTGAGGACTATAATAAATTTGTGAATCACATTTTCTGAGGACTATCAGGTGTATAATTTTGGATGTTTTAAGATTCTTTTCCATAGTAGGCTATAATCCTGGATGTTTAAAGAATTTTTCAGAGTCATAATCGTGGAGATTAAAAAAAAAATCCTAGGACTCTTGGGGACTTAAATCGTAGAATGTTTAACGATTTTCCCATGACTTTCAAAGTTATAATTGTGGAATCTTAAAGGATTTTATTTTATAATTAAGGACTGTCGCAGCTATAATTTAAAGAAATTTTTCAAGGACTATCAAAGCTGTGGATAATTTTAAGAAATTTGTTCCAAGGACTTGAGGCTATAATTAAGGAGTTATTCAGATGACTTTTCAGGACTATACTAAGGAATTTGTGAAGAATTTCTTTTCAAGGGCAGAATCATAATCGTCAAGATTTAAAGATATTTTTTCAGGACTATCAAGGCTATAATCGTCGAGGAACAAGGCAATAATTAAGGAGTTTTTCCCAATGATTTGTGTGAATTTGTGAAGCATTTTCCCGAGGACTTTCTTAGTCATATTCGTGGATTCTGAAAAATTGTTTTCCAAGTACACATGAGAACAACAAAAAAGGATTTTTTTTTAATTTTCTTCTAGGACCATCAAAGCTGTAATCGAGGTTTTTCTTTCAAGATTTTCTTGCAAGGACACACCATGGGGCTATAATTGTTAATTTTTGAGGAATTTTCTTAAGGACTCTCAGGGTTTTAAGCATTGTTTTTTTACAATCGTGCATTTTTAAAGAATTCTTTCCAAGGGCTATTAAAGCTAGAAACTTCAAAATTTAAATTTTTTTAATGGACCTTGGATTTTTTTATGATAGGACTTGAAAAAATAGCTCTATTAGTCCTTAAAAAATATTTGAAGACTTTTAATCCTGGAGTTTCTAAAGCAGTTTTCAACAATTTTTAATTTTGGATTTTTACAGTTTTTTTTTCAAAGACTATCCGAGCCGAGATGGTGAATTTTTTAAGACTATTTTTCAAGGACCTCTTTTCGTGGATTTTTAAAGATTCTTTTCAAGGACCTCCAATTGTGTGTGTTTTCTTTTAAATGTATTAAAAAAAATTAATAGGCCTCTTAAGGACTACAATCGGGGATTTTTAAAGGATTTTTCCAAGGACTTTCTGAGTTATAATCGTGGACTATCAGAGCCGTGGTAGTGGATTTTTCACAATATTTTACAAGGACCTCCCATTGTGGATTTTTAAAGATTCTTTTCAAGACCTCCAATTGTAAATTTTTAAATTAATTTTCTAGGAACTCCCTTGAACTATGATTTTTTATATATTTTTTCTAGTATATTTAACTATGAATTTTTGAAAGATTTTTTTTTATCAAGGACCTTCAATGATCCCAATAATCGTATACCTTTAATAATCTTTTTCGAGGACTTGAGGAACTTTTTATATTTTTGGTGAATTTAAAAATGTTTTCTCACTGTGCTCCCTCCCCTTTATCAAAGACCTTCAATGATCCCAATAATCGTGTATCAATAATCTTTTTCGATGACTCGAGGAAATTGTTATCTTTTTTTGTGAACTTAAAATTCTGTTTTTGTCCTCACTGTGCTCCCTCCCATAGACAAACGAATCCTAGACTTTTCAACACATTTTCCAATTTCCATTTGGTGTTTGTGTGCCAATAGGCAGGCTTAGTTATTATCCAACTAGCTTCGCATGTT